CTCTTTCTGTCATTGTCTATCTATCTACTCTTTACCCTCTTCTCCCACTGCCGCCCTATCACAACTTCTCCCATTTTGATGATTGGAATGTAAACAAGTGAGAAGTTGTGATAAGGTGGCAGTGGGAGAAGAAGACAATGATAGAAAAAGGAGTGATAGTGTAAACGTTTCCAGCAGAACGGTTGTCGAGAGATTGACTTCACTTGTCTCTTTGACGAGTTTGTATCTTGGTGCGGAGAATGGCAAGGCTCACTGATGATGCCGACTACATGAGAATGTATCAAGTCCACTGTCAGATGCTGGGAGTCATGACAACTACTATGGCAGACGACTTCGGACTCGGTGCGTTCTACATAGTCGCCCTGACAACAAGACTAAGTTGCGACAACGAGGTCAACCCACTTCTATAATTTTTTCCCAATACCATATGAATTGAGTTTTTACATAATTACTATTGGTCATGAAAGTGTGATGTTTTTTATTTTGTGCTTTTGGTAATGCCTTTTTCTCCATTTATATAGTGTTTAAATAAACAAACTCTTTTAGTCTGTGTATTTTAGTTCATCTACTGATTATTTTCTTGGTTATAATGCGCTTGAGGTAGATATGTGGCCATGGCAAAATGCGCTTTGCCCAGAAATACTACAGGACTTCAAGTATTTCACTTTTAAAGGAGCAAGAGTTCTTCCGATGCAACAGCCGAAGCTGGCCCCACAGTGAGGTGGAATAGACCACATTATTCCGAAAGAGATTTGTCTTAAGCCTGGCTGTTGACTCCAACGATAGTGGTCGCGAACTCGTCGGCAATTGGTTAGTTAGTGAAGTGAGTATAGGTTAAAATCACCTTATATAACACCATCCATTCGTCTTTACTCTTGCCTGCCTCATCGTTTGTAGCCCTTTTAACTAAACACAAGATGTGGGATATCGGTAATGCCATCGAAACGGGTATTCAAAGCGACCCCAACACTATGCTTGAGGATGTACCTATTACCAGGTCATGCCAGAGATCATTAAATAGATGTAATAATAATAATAATAATAATAATAATAATAATAATAATAATAATAATAATAATAATAATAATAATAATGATAATGATGATGATGATGATGATGATAATAATAATAAGATTGATGATACTGATGAGGAAGAGGAGGAAAAGGATTATTATTGTTGTGCTGTTGGTGTCACTGCTGCTGCTGATGCTGGCGGTGATGATAACATAGTCGCTACTGGATGATTTTTTAGTAGCTGCTGGCAAGACCACATCATGCACCTGCGATACAAACTATGCTTTCACACTTTAGTACGGCCAATGAAAGCTGGCCAGTATTATTAGACGAGGGTGGCTAAGTATGGATGTCTGCAAGTTGCACGGCTCTCTCGTCGTTCTGATCAGTTGCTAGGCTCCGAAAAGGAAGCCTCTCCTACGACGGAGCAGAGTCATGACTTCGGACAATTACGTTGCCAGGCTGGCTGAAATGGAGCCGATAAAGTGAGAGGCGTCTCACCTAAAAAGTCGTCCGTCAAAATGAGGTCGGCATCCCAGACTTGCAGATTGAGCTCGCAGGGCGTCTTCATGTCGGCCGCATCGAACTCAAAAGTGCCCTTGATGGGGTAGATGATTCTGTCCTCGGACTTCAAGTAGTCAAATGGAAAGACAAATCGCCAGTTGAAATTCCCTTCACCAGAAAGCGAGCTAAGAGTGGGCAGGGGGCAGTGGGAGTGGAGAAGAGCAAAGGAAGACAAAGTAGTAAAAGAGACTCGGACTATTCAAGCTCATGAAAAAATTTAGGCTTTTTCTGAAAATGCTTGCTTTCGAAGGGATTGGTTAGTTGGCCTGACCGGACGGACATCGTCGGAACATGACACCAAACCACGAAGGCAAGAATTGGTGAATTACCGAATGTACATCACAAGACATACGAGAAGTTGGCAAGGATTTATCGGGTTTTTGGGGCGCAGCGCCGAGGATTTATTCTCTCAAATCGTCAAGGAAATCCTCCTTCGGCTTCCAGTGAGACCGGCTAGCGAAGCTCTTCAACTCGCCACTTCAATTCGCCTTTTCAAACAAAACGAAAAGTAGACAACATCAATCTAGGATTGTTGTTCCTTCCCTCCAAGTCAGCATTTTAGGGCTCATTCAGCTACTTGCAATTGAAATTTTCCTCAGGCCGGGCTCTATAGCATTGTTGGCACCTATTTTCCGTCTTTCCTTTAATCTACACTCTTTAGAGTCTGATCACATTGCGTCGGCTTTTTAAGTATTGTGGGGCTAAAAGGTTCGGCTTTAGGGCTCATCTCTCTGCTAACTAAGATTTTCTTATCCGCCTTCGACTCGCCTTTACTCGTGAATAATCGACTATAAAAATACCCGTCAAAAGTGGACCTGAACTGCATGGGACGGTGGCCTATTTTCATGGCCAACTTAATATTAAAAATTTTGCCCACTAAAAAGTTATTTACTCCAGTGCAACTTTTGGTAGGCCAATTTTACGGCATAACTAACCGTTTGGAAGCCCTCTTTCCCAGACAGTAAAAAATACCATTTTCAATTGATATTTTGACCAAACTATTACTACTAATACTACTACTACTATTACTGCTACTACTCTCTTGGATATGAAAACCGAGAGAGGGCCGCCTTTTATTCGGTCGCAGTCTCATTTAGTTTTATAGTGTTGGGTTGACTTAATTTTTTCAACTAAAGATATGAAGGCCACGAAGGTGTTGCCACCAGTATGATTGCAGTCTACTTTCGATTTGCAACTTGGTCTTGTTGTCAGGGGGACTTAGTAGAAGGCACATTAGCCGAATTCCTCTGCCATAATAATTATCATTATTCCCAGCGTCGGACCGTGCACTTGGTACATTCTCAGACGTTTCGCCGGCAGCATGAGTGAGCCATTCTTACCGCCAAGCTATAAATTCGTCAAAGGAACAATGCCGGCGAAACGTCCGAGAGTGTACCGAATGCACGGTCGGATGCTGGGAATTATGACAAATACTATGCCAGAGCACTTCGGACAAGATGCGTTCAACTAAGTCGCCCTGACAACAAGACCAAGTTGCGAAAACGAGGTCAACCCGCTTAATTTTCTCAACTTGGTTCGAGCGACAGTGAGACTTTGTGGATGGTGCCTATTCTTCTTGGTGATTTTTACTTTAGAACCATTAACATTTCTCCGTCTGCCCTGAAACCATTAATTATGCTTCACTGAAATCACTTTAAGAAACACACTCTTTTCGCGACATTAAAGAAAACTTATCTTGTCACTTTGATGCGTTGTAACTGAGTGCCAAAGATGGCGCTTCGCAATAGAGACGCTGACGACACGTCCGGAAATGTGTCAAGTCGAGGGTCTAATTGTAGAAATCACCATGACTACTCGAGGGCAGAGGACGCGGGAATCGGCACCTTCCCCACAGTCTCCCGGTCGCTCCGACCAAGTTGCAAAAAGGAGTTCAAACCAACACGATATACTACTTTGTCAGTGTTGATAATAGACAAATATTATCATTCGTCAAAAACGGTATCGATAAGAAAGTAGGCTTTTTCATAAACAGGGGTACTGGCTGGGTATTGACGCAGAAGTGCTTATTTTGTTGGCAATTTGCAGGAATCGGAGTGACTACTTTATAAGCACTATCAGTAGACAGTTTTATGAACTGATAGTAGCATTGTCCAAATTGAAATGAAGATAAAACTGTACCTTCTAATAAGAATAGGGTATAGCCCAGCTCTTATGTTTATGGTTAGCGAGTTATCTGCTGGCCACATCCCCACGTAAAAGTATGATAATTTGTTTATTTCGAGTGAAAGAAAGTCATGTGGCGGGCTCACCGATAATGAATGTCCGTCCTTTGATCGTCAACGCCGACTGCTTTGATCCAACCCTTTATGTAGATATCGGAGCTCTTCTCCCCGGAAAATAGAGATGTGTCGTTTAGAACAACCTAGAAAGAAATAAAAGAGGGTAAAACCATGAAATTGGGACTTGGCATGACCAGACTTTAAAAACTCATCATATAAACATGAAAAACAAGATGCTGCGACCCTTTCTTTTAGTTGTATAGCGAACGTGGTCTGACAACGTTCTGGCAACATGCTCTTGTTGTCATGGCGACTAACAATTCCAGCGGTGAACCGCTGATTGAAACTGGGTGAAATCGGTCAAGCAGTCAAGGCAAGAAACGGATCTTCGGGGCTCTGAGGGACATTCGAGTAGGAGGCCTGAGTCGGAGAAACATATCGAGAGGGAACATGGGCAAGGTGAACAATCCGGTGTGATAACGCTTCTCTAAACTCCCAATATAGGTAAGTGAGACGTCGCGATAGGGAGAGAGTGAGACACGAGGAGAGAGAGAGAAGGTAGATGGACCAGAACAGAAGGAGTAATGACATGACCGTTCGACAGAAGGTTGGCCAAGGGATGAACTTCAATTGTATTTTTGACGAGTTGTAGCTGAGGCTGATGCTGAGAATGGCAAGACTCAGTAATGTTGCGGGTGAGAAGAATAAGAATGTATCAAGTCCACGGTACAACGATTGAAATTGCCATAACTACGATAGCAGAGGTCCTCAGATCGGGTCTGTCCAACTTGGTCGCCCTGACAACTCAATCAATTTGCGAAAATGATGTCAAGCAAAGTTTTACAAATTAATCAACGGCATGAAGACCAAGATTGCGTGATCTTTTGTGGGGTGTTAGTCTCCTATCGCTATATAGAAGTTGTTTTACTCTGTTTTCCGACTCTGGAAATGATCATGCATGCAATGGACTCCGGACTGGATGCGTTTCTCAAAGTCTTCCTGCCAATATGATCAAGTTGCGAAAACAAGGTCGAACAACGAGGGCAAACTGCGACCACACGGAAGAACACGCCATCTTGCTATTCATGTCTTCGAACTTAGTTTCAGTTTGTAATTTGCTTATTGAGACTACCAGAGCATCTTGTAGTTAAGAGCTATATTCATACTATTTCGTTTAGATGATCACTTACTTTAAGTTGCCTTTTTCCACAGTAAACTAAGTAGGTCTCAGTTAAAGGGACTGAAGCTTTATCCTCGCCTGAAGTGGACACATTAACTCCTCCAGCGCGACTAGAAACCACAGGTTAACATGTCGAAACTGTTTACTTCCTGGTCCAGGTTTGAGTACCACTGGGAGCCCTGATGAAACCGGGGAGATCTAAACTGTAGTCCACTTTAGTCTGGATAAGAATACTTCTTGGCAAGGAAATATGTATTAAATTATATGGAACCATGAGGTCAACTCATTTGATCGTAAGAAAAATCAACTACCAGTCCTTCATCACCTTAAACGAAATATGGCCAACACATTTCATATAACTGAGTTACTGACGGTCTCGACACCCTACTTATAAACGGGCTTTTACATTAAATATATTGAAAAGAGGTCTTAGTATTGTGATTTGATTATTACCTTCTCTAGGTTCTTCCCATAATCATCCATACATGATGCGAATAATTGCTTATTTGCCCTCTCGCAAAGCCTGCCAACTTCATATACCCTGATCGAAGATATGAAGACCAAGATCGTATGGTATTTTGTATGGTCGAAGTCTCCTTCCGTTGTATAGAAGCTGTTTGACCTTGTTCTAGCAACTTGGTCATATTGGTAGGAAGACTTAGAGGAACGCACCTAGTCTGGAGTCCATTCTATGCATGATCATTTCCAAAGTCTGACCGTAGACGTGGTACATTCCGGCGAAATGTCTAGGAATGTACCACGCCTACGGTCCGACTTTAAAAATGATCATGCATAGAATGGACTCCGGACTAGGTGCGTTCCTCTAAGTCTTCCTACCAATATGACCAAGTTGCGAATACAAGGTCGAACAATTTCTATACATACCTTTGGTTGAATAAGAGGTGAAACTTTAATTTTTCCCTACAATCGACGATGCTACTTAAATTCAGAATAAGTAGGCTCTAAACTACTAGGTAAATATAATCAAATACATTGTTCATATTAACAAAATAAAAGTTTTTCGTTTATAAGTTGGTTGCGAGGCTATATATATATATATATATATTTGACTATTAACTTCTCTCGGTTCTTCCTTTAATCATCCATACATGATGCGAATAATTGCTTATTTGCCCTCTCGCAAAGCCTGCCAACTTCATATACCCTGATCGAAGATATATATATATATATATATGTATATTTATAACTCGTAGTTGGATTTTTACATTATCTTATGAGTATGCCT